ATATGTAATTCCGAAGGTAGACGCATCGAATCAGAAAGAACACATCCGTCATTCCGTTCTCCCGTCACCTCCTCGTTTGCCCGCCGGTCATCCATGCCACCTTTATCCATTCAGCAAAATGAACCAAGTTAGCACATTTCGCTCAAGCAACCCGAGCACTGGCGGTGATCAACACAAGCTGACCAGGGGAATATTAGATCGTAACAGAGAGGGACTTTGCGATGGTCATGACTTCGGGAACGAAGACCACCTAGATGAAAGGGAGAAAAGCCGGGTAGAAGAAGCTGAAGGAATGAACTTCTTTGCGGTTTTGAAACACTCAATATATAAACACATAGTATATATATTTGCAAACATTATCAATATCTTTCTAATGCCTGCCAAAGTTCCTCCTAATTACAACCTCACTGCGATTAACCCATTTCAACGAGTACCATATCCACCTCTTTCCAACCGCGCAGAGACCGGCCTGATCTGCCCGTCTGACGCTTGCAGGAGAAGACCCACTCATTCAACGGTGTACTTCAAGTCGAAGCATAAACATCTCGTTGGAGTTCAGGTAAGCGGATATTATATCTATTCCTTAGACACCAACGAATTGAATTAGTACTTCAACGTGTTAGTGCCCGATCGACAAAGAAGGATACACTCGAACTTACAACTCGGAGCACTTCCAAGCACAACTGCGTGACCTCAATTGACGAGTGATTGATCAAGCCGTAGAAGGTTGTCCTTCAGCCTGAGTATAGTATTCACGACTTTCGCCACGACGCATATAGCACGGTGTGTAAGTTGCATTACAGTCTGTAAGCAAAATACTCAATATATCAGTCCGTGAGTATGTGGATGTTAGGGAGATATGCCTTTACATGAGGCACGATGTGTGAAGTTGATCCATGAAGGGTGCACTGAGATGAACGACTGATAGGAGTTGAGGATTTAGTAATAGACCACCGTGTCTTCCTTCAGACCAAAAGAGAGAATATCAAATTCTTCTTTGGAATTGTTGAAGACTATGTTAGACTATGAAGTATCATATGTCACTAACAAAAGAAGACACGTATCAGGAAGGAGAGTATAAGTCAGAAGACTAGAACTAGAGATCACTCTAGACCTAGTTCCCTTATCCCCCCTTTCCATTTCCTCTTCATTATCCTTCAGTTATCACCACAGTAAAACACCTTCTATACGTGCTCAACTTCGTTTAAGAATATAGTCTAGTTAACCTAGTAATCTAGCATAAAAAATTCCTTTTTGTCCAGCCCTCCCTCCCTTACATATGGTAAAAGGTAAACGTGCCGTTTCCCCCGTGAGGAGACCCCGGCTCCCCACGCTCTAGTCTTTCTAAGGAGTTGGACTCTTTGATTAGTTCTAAGAGCGGTTAAGAAACCACGAATAGAACTAATAGGAGTCGAACCCCTTAAAAACTGGCCTTCCCGGATCCCTAAAGATTCGAGAAGGCCTCTAGCCCACACAGATTCTTACCTTGCTAAGTAAAGAAACTTAGGAAGGTAAGACTCAATTCTTAAGGAAGATTATTGAGACACGGAAAAATGGATGAAAGATTCTTACTACGACAATACGCCGTGAAGTATTGCAAGGTCTCAACACCGCCAATGTCATACAAGTATCCATAGACTTGGCATCGCGTCTCGAGTGGAAGAGGCTCTTCGTATTCGGTAGCAGTCACTGTAACGCACGTCAAACACACTGTTGTAGGAGGGCTGAATGTTTTCTCTGGAATCTTAACGGCGTTTGGAGGACGAAGTGAGGCTGAAGGAATCCCATGGTGGTAGAAATGGGAGGTGTCGTAACCACACGCCGGCAGGTCTTTGTACATCAAGTACCATAGTTGAGCCCAGGTAGTGGGGGGCTGAGCTGGGTCGAGGCAATGGGTGATGAATTCAAGAGGCCCCTCCTCACATGAGGGCCCATAGGCGATGTCGGTCCTCTTCAAAAAGTCTGCCGCGAGGGCTCCAAAGTTGCAAAGTTGGCCTACAGTCAGGGTGTTGTGTATCAAGGGTGTCAACTCGAAGAGTTCTTTGATCAAGTCTTTGACGAGCATGATGGTCAAATGGAAATAAGATGAAGAACAAGGCACACTGGGTGTGAGTAATAGAAATTGAATTTGTAGCGGATGGAAATGCGACAAAATAGAAGAAGACGCCGGGTCTTATTGATGGAAATTGAAGTCGTGCTTTGATTGAAAGCAAAAAAGTTAGAGAAGGGGTAAACAGTCAAACTATCACATTGTGGGTGGTTGAAGCAAGAAAGGTAGTGGATATGAAACTAAATTGGGCAGAGAGATGAAGAGAAGTATTGGTGATCTATGTCTTGTCAAAGCCTTATATCACTTTGGTGCTCTTTAAAACTCAAAAGCAAGGCCGAGTGGAAGTGGTTTTAAGAAATAAAGTGGGTTGATGCCTCATCAATGACGCTTTGCTGCTTTGCCCTTGATCTGCAATTTACAAGGTATCACTGCTTTGGTCTTGGAACAAATACCTTCAAAGTAAAGGCAAGGCTGAGTGAAAGTGGGTCATCTGAGGGAATAGAGTGGGTGGTTGCGTCGTCAATTACTTTTGGCCGTAATCCCAAAACTACGAAAATGGTGTGGTCTTTTTTAAGCTTAACTAAGCCCCTCTCGGACGAGCGAGTAGTCGAGAGAGGGGCTTAAATGGGACTCGCGTTTCATGGCGGGAGAGCTCCAGAAATTAAGTACCTTTATGTACTTTTCTGGAGCTCTCCTCAAATACTCATTGTGGGATTTCTCAAGGTTCAGATATGTGTAGCTTCATGAGAAGCTACACAACCTCGTACCACTTTCAGCAAGATTTGTTGGAAGTAAGGGTATTCAAAACGGATTTCCAGTTTGTTGCAATGTGTAGCTGGCTATTTCAGACCAGGAGGCTGAAATGGCAGCTTTGTCGGAAACTACCAATTTCTTGACAAAACACCACAAGGGTTTCGTCTTCGTAAAAACAATAAAGGACCTCGCGCCACCGGGATAAGTGTCCCTCGATATCCAAGGGTTTTGATGAATATCTTAAGGGTTTTAGCTTTTATCCATTTCGACAGCAGTTTTGGCGAAGGACCAAACATCCAAATTTCGGTGAAGGCCAGTACAGGCCTGTACTGGCATGCTTAGGCTGTTACAGGAGGACGTAAGAAACCATTTGCGCAACGTTTCCTGAAAGCGTCACAGCTCTCAGTTGTTGATGAAAGTGGTACGAGGTTGTGTAGCTCCTCATGAAGGAGAACATACCTGAACCTTGAGAAATCCTACGGTGAGGAATTGAGGAGAGCTCCAGAAAAGTACATAAAGGCACTTAATTTCTGGAGCTCTCCCGCCATGAAACGCGAGTCCGATATAAGCCCCTCTGCGAGGGCGCGGCGAACGCGCTAGAGGGGCTTAGTTAAGCTTAGGTCTTTTTCGAGGCATATGAGGTCACCGTTAACCGGTGTCAATTTAGGTCAACATGGGTCAATCTTGGAGATACATCTTAGTTCACTTGTTTTTGGTTTTTTTGTTCACCGAAAAAACCCAAAAAGTTGGATGTATGTACATCTTATTACTCCTTGCTTCCGAGTTTCTAGCGGTATTTTTGTTGGTATTACTTCCGCTTTATTCGCGGGTATTGCAAGGTTACACATCAAACCTTGGTTTGGGGTAAGGATGAGGTCGGGATGGCGGACGGGTGGATGAGATGAGATCTGATGAGATAGTCTAGCCGTATTGCGTTACTGCATGTGACACGTATGATGCATCCGTCCGTGTGACTTTCAGACCCGTCAGACAGTTGGGCACATTACAAATAGTCTGCGGAACTGTACCATGCTCACAACTCCCCGTACAACGAGGCTCACGGATTCCATGAGTCCCTGGATTCTCTGACTTGCTGGGAATAGAAGCCAACTTGTTGATTTGAAGGCACATGAGAGTTTGAAGAAAAGTGACGTGGAATTGAATTGAGTATTGTGTAATTGAGTTTTAATCTAAATCAATTTTGACAACAACACACTATAAAAGAAGCGCGTTAAAAGAGAAAACAGAGAAATTAAAACTTGAAACAGTTTCATGAAGTTCAGCTTTAAAGGACATTAAACCAAATCAAAATAAACAAGTTCAAAGAAATATAATATCAGGATCGATCTAGATAGACCATCAAGTAAATATTTCCAAATAAGAATTGATGTTTTGATTCGGAAAGTAGAAAATGTTTAACAAATTCACATCTCGATCCAAGAAAACCTCATCAGTTAGTTCTAAATTGATAATTTCAAATGAAGATTCACCCAATTCATCATCCATCACAGAACCAACACCTCAACCAGGATCAAAACCATCAGGAAGTTTGGATAATCAAGAACAAGAATCAAGAATCGATCAAAGAAGTCATGATGACCATAACTCATTATTAGTCATCACACCACAAAATGAATTAAACTCACCTAGTGCTTCATTCTTCAATCTCAACTCAAACACTCCCAAATCATTAAAAACATTAAATATCAATCCAAACTTTAATTCTTCAAAAACTTCAATCTCATCTAAATCGGGAATTGGTATTGGAAACTCAACTCCAACTGGCATTCGTTCATCATCATCATCATCATCAAATCATCAAACAGCAGTACAAGAAGAACCTAAACCATCTCATCAGAACCATCATCAACATACTCATAGTTTACAACAACTTATTCAAGATTCAATAGATCAAGATTCAATCGAATCCACTTCAAATCAATCTATCGAAAACACAACAACACCTACCATCAACAATTCAAGCCAAGCTCCCCCTTCACGTAATTCACCTTCAACTACATTATTAGCACCATTACCATTATCATCGACATCTACTACAGCTACACCTACTCATTCACCTATCTCATCAAATCATCAGATCAATCCACGAAAACCAAATAAGAAAGCTTCTAAATCATCTTCGATCACTAGTACCAATAGTGTGATTGCCACTGGAGGAATAGCCGAAGCATTAGCCATGTCAGGTGTAGCTTTGTTAACCCAAGCAAATCATGTACCATCACCACCATCGATCCGTAGAACGTCTAATCCGACTTCAACTCATCAATCTAATGGAAACTTAAACGATCCACAACTTTTGAATATCAACTCTTCGACTTCTAATGGGTTTCGATCACCTACTTCTGTACTTCATCAACATGGCTCTAATTATGATTTGGCTAGTGAATTTGATGATCAGTTTCTTGGAACGGGCTATGCTGTGGCTTCTAGAAAACGAAACTTTGATTTCCATTCAATCTTTAAAGCTATTCCTCAAGATGATTATTTAATTGAAGGTTCATTTTCGATCATTCTTGAGTCTTGGATTCCGTTCTGAAAAGTACTGATGTTGGTTTCCTTCTTTCTTTTTCGGGGGGTTTCTTGGCTTACAGATTATGGTTGTGCTTTACAACGTGATATTTTGGTTCAAGGTAGATTATATATTTCTGAACAACATCTTTGTTTTAATGCGAATATCTTTGGATGGGTTACAACTGTTAGTAAAATCCAAGTCATCTTTAAGAAAAAAAACCCTATTTTCAAATCTTTTTTTTTGGGGGGAATTCGTGTTGACTTTTTTGGGGGGGTTTAAGTTGGTCTTACCATTTTCAGATGTGGTTTCGATTGAAAAGAAAATGACTGCTTTGATTATTCCGAATGCAATACAAGTGATGACCATGCAAAGTCGTGTAAGTCAGCTTTTTCTCTTTGTCCTAAATGATTAACTAACCAAGAGTCTATAATGTCTTTATAGCATACATTTGCTTCATTTATCTCACGTGATGTAACATACGATTTAATGAATAATATATGGAGGATTTCACATCCCACAATTCCAACGCATAATAATTCATCAACAATTTCATTGAATCCAGCTATAGGTAATGATGAAGTACATGTAGAATATCTTGGACCATCAACTACAGATCCTAATTCGACTACCAATTCTAATCCCAATGAAACCACCAACACTAATCCTAATACCACCACCACCATGACGAAATTACCTGAATCAACTGTTTGTGCTTGTTTGGGTACTGATGCTCATTATAAAGATGTAGCACTTGATACAACTTATAAAACTTCAGTTGAGAATTTGTATAACTTGTTATTTTTAAATAGTGAATTTATGATATCTTTTTGGGAAAATGATCAAAGATTAACCGGTAAGTTAGTAGTTAAACTGACTCTCCTCTCCAAAAAAAAGCTCAATACTCTCTTTCTTGAACTTCTTGATTGATTTTCTGAATTTCTTATCCTTTTTTTTTTGGTTTGGTTTTTTTTTAGAATTAGAAACAAGTGAATGGACTAATAAGACGAAAAAAATTAGTTATATTAAACCTTTGAATGCATCCATGGGACCTAAACAGTGTAAATGTGAATTGAATTTACAAATCATTGAATTAGATTTTTTAAATTCGATTACAGTCTTGACGACCACACGTACACCGGATGTACCGGCTGGTTCATCTTTTTCGGTCTTGACAAGAACTTGTTTGATGTTTGTACCTGATGGAGTTAGGATTGTGGTCACTACTTCTGTTGAATGGTCTAAAGTTAATCGGTTTTTAAAAGGTAAGTATTTTTTTAGATTTTTTTTTTTTCGTTTAGATTGGTTGTTAATGAATTTGGGTTTTGGGTTTTAATAGGGATTATTGAAAGTTCAGCACTTAGTGGACAAAAAGCTTATCATGTTGATTTAGATGTAGCTATACGAGAAGAATTAAAAAGACAAGAAAATGATCAAGTTCAAAGGAATGGAGGAAATAGTGATGAGAATCAAAGGAAAGAATCAGATCAAAGAAATGGTAGTTTGAATGAAAAGAAATTAAATCCGATTCGAAATCAAAATGAATCTATTAAACCAAATCAAAAAGTTGATTCGAATTTAACTTTTAATTCTTCTAATCAACAACAACAACATCAAGCTTTTTATAAGGTTATGAATTTGAAGAGTTTTAGTATTACTACTTATTTAGGAATCTCAATTATCATGATCTTATTAATTTCGAATTTATTGAGTTTTAGAAACCATCAATCTATTGGAATCAATCATGGGAATCAAGAAAGAATCGTTTCTAGAGATGAGATTAGGAAAGCTATTAGAGATGGAATTGATGATTGGGTTTTAAATCTTAAGAGAAAAGAAAGTGATGAGATTAGAGAGATCGAAGTGGTTTTGGATCGGTTTGAGGAAAGGATTAAGGTTTTGAGAGGAGTTCTTTTGGGTCATAGGAAAGATTTTGGAAAGGCAGATTTGGATGAACAATCAGATGGAGATGTGGATGAATTTAGAGTTGAAGGTGAATTTAATGTTGAAGGTAATAGGATTAGGAATGAAGTACTTGATGATCATCTTGATGAGAAATTAAAAGAAAAAGAAAAAAATGTAATAGGTAAATAAGGAAAGTTGAAAAAATTATTCAAAGATTAAATGGTTTAATCGTTTTGTAATGTGTGTGTTTGTGTGTCTTTTCTTTACAAGAATAATAAAGAGACTTGGGATTTTTTTTTCATAAAAAAGCATCTTTTTTTTATCTTTCTTTTTATTCTTTCTTCTTCTTTTGAATTGATCCTTTATTCTTTTTTTGGGTTTTTTTAACCTTTTTGTGATATATATATATCTTTTTTTATTGAACTCATTTATTTTTAAAAAAAGTCATCAAAATCTTTTCATTAACTTTATGGAACTCTTAAAATCTCTTTATTTTTTTTCAATTGTTGTTGTTGTTTTATTTCCAAAAGTTTGTTGATTTTTTTTCTTTTGTTGTATTTTGAAAATTTTGGTTTCTTTTTTCTTTTTGGTTATGAAAAGAAAAGTTTATGAATTTGTTACAAATTGATTGTTTGTTGAAATGAGAAAAAATGATTAGGTTATTTGGATTTGAAAAATGAATTTTTTAAAGAAAGTTTTTAAGGAGAATAAGAGGTTTTTAGTGTGTGTGTAATATGTATGTAGGAGATGGTTTACTTGAATAGTTTTTTTTTGGAAATGATTTGGGTTTTGGAAAAGAAAATTTCAAGATAAAGATTTCCAAAAACCCAAAGTCAATTCATTCTTTTTCCATCAAGAAGACTGATTTCCAAACATTATTCTCTGGAAATCATGGAATGATTTTATCCACATCCACAATTCTAATTAATTTGATTTCTGTCTGTTGCATTTGGTTCAACTTCAAGAAACGGCTTATGTGCAAGTTGATTCTTACTACTCATAACACTTTACTCATCATACTTTTTCATCTTGCTTTAAATGAATTCTTTATGTGATAGTTTATTTACAAAGACCACTCCCAATGTGTTGATTGACCTGCATCCTACTAAAACACAGCTTGTAATGAGATATAATCTTTAGATACCAAGGCAATTACACCATTAATTGTAGCACAATCCTCAGGAAATGTATTGATAGACAAAAGCCCCACATGAATTGCAACACTGGGAGATAACCACAAGGATCTCAAGTTTCAATCTGACCAGTGTTCATATAACACAGCCTGTGTTTCTTACAAAACTTCACTTCTTGGTGAATCCAATTGATATCTATAATGGGATGTTCTCTCATAGAGCCTTTACTTGTCAGGCGGTCCTCATTGACTATTTGAATAGAGCAGTCTAGAGCACAGCCGTGACAGATAAGACAAATTACAGATCTTTGAAAAAAACCTCATCATGGTGTCAAGTTTCACTCCAATTTGTAATTGTCTTGCACTGCTGATGTTTCTTCTGACACTTCACTGTGACTTGTACATTCAATATGGCCTATAAAAAGATGTCCACAATAAAGCCATAACTTGTCAGACAATCCTCAATGAATGTTTCAATAAGCCAGTCAAAATGACAGTGCATGCTATGATAAGGATGATTGCCTTCAGCTTGCAAAAAAAAACCAGGGATGTAATGTTTATCAATTGAGTCAGCTACATTGAAAAAAATAGACACAATAAGCTTATCTGTCTCTGTGATGCATTCATTTATGAAATTGATTAGGTAAACCTCCTGTTGCATCAGCAAGGATTCTCTGAAATGATTTGATAATTTGCCACCATCAGATTTGTCTGTATGACAGGTGTTTTGCCTATAAATTAGGTCCCCTTTTTGCGCATGTTCAGGTCAACTGCTTCACACATCTTTTCAGAAATTAAAAGCACCCAACATGAATGTTATCAAGGTGGAAAAAATCATTTGTGTTGCATTATCTTCCTTGTGTCTTTGGTCAACACTTTCATTGGCTCAATTTACACCTGAAAATATATTGGAGCATCTTGATGATGGTCAGAGTGAGTTTAAATAAATACCTTGAAATCACAAATGAGAATAAGTACATAGGCTCACCAATATCTTGCTTTGTGCTCCCAATGAAGAAACTTCTTGGTCAAGAGTTGCTGAATTCTATGATGCATTGGATGACCACCGAATACACAACCACCAACACCCATTTGCCTCAATTAAAGGTCGTATGTTTCAATTTTGGCAAACAGATACTGCACCAAATGCAGAGCTGACAGACTGTAAGGCCCAAATAAACACTTCTTTTGGGGGAAATAATTTTGATAGTTATTTACATATTTTCATTCACTGTATTTTTCACTCACTGAAATCCATTTATTTGGTGTTAAATTGGTTTATCTCTAGTCAAACTCCCTGGTTTTAGAAATGAAGTAAAAGGCTGGCAATACAAGATCATCAATGGTATGTCATTCTTGAAGATGTTTTCAATTCTTCCAGACCATTCTTAAGGAAATATTCCTGAAATCTGTACATAAAAATCTGACACTAAATTTAAAAACACACTTCAGTCACTTACGATTTGTCAGCAGGGGAAATCGAATTCAAGTTAAAGGGGCATTTTTACCGAACACATCCATTGTATCCAGGTGTTGAGGTAAAGAATCATGAGGCCAGGTTTGAATTGAAGGCTATGCGTCGAAGTTGGTCAATTCAGAATGTCGTAATTGTTCATGGAACCCCCAGACACCAAGCAGATTCCCATTATGTAGATGAGAATTTATTTGAGTTACTTCCAGGTTCATCTTCCCATTAGTCAATTATGATAAGCTTGTGATTTAAGGGAGATCAGAATAGATGTATCATACTGTTTACAAACACTTCTGCAAGAGCTTATCTTGATCATCTGTACAGGATTAGTGTAATGATGTCTAACATGGATCCTCATAGCATTACAGTTGCTCTCACCTAGTCACAACAACAGCCTGATGTGGCTTGGCCTTGCCCCTACCCTGGTCCAAAATGTTGATGAGTTGTGACCATATATGTTTGGTGCTTTTCTGGTATTTTTGCAGTCATTATCAACCAGATTGAGTTGTCCTAGGACCTAGACCCATGAGTTCTACCTGAAGCTATAATCCTGACCCATAAGTACAGCCTGAACCCATTCTGGAGGGCCATAAAGTGGACTATTGCAAGAATCTAAAGAAACTCGAGTCACCAGAATGGTAACTTAGGATGCCAGTAAACGGGCGTCAGTCTTTACGGTTCTGAACACCGAAGACAAAGATAAAGAATCACACCTTAGGATGCCAGTAAACGGGCGTCAGTCTTTACGGTTCTGAACACCGAAGACAAAGATAAAGAATCACACCTATTAAGGGTGAAAGAAAACAACAAAGTACGCCACTTTGTTCCTCAGTGAACTGATCATAATATTTCATATAGTTAATAGTGTCTAACCTTAGGATGCCAGTAAACGGGCGTCAGTCTTTACGGTTCTGAACACCGAAGACAAAGATAAAGAATCACACCTATTAAGGGTGAAAGAAAACAACAAAGTCTGAAGAGAAATGGAGAAAGAGATTAACAATTGATCTATCCGGATTGAAAGAATACAGACTATGAAACCACTTACACGCCACTTTGTTCCTCAGT